TTTTTTTTGAATCTTTTTAAATTTTAATTTTAATTTTAAAAATCTTTTAATTTTATTTTTTATCACAATATGTGGTTACTGAGTTGTTCTCGCGTTTTCGTAAAATCACAGGGGTTCTCGTTTGAACCCTTCCCTATATATATATATATATATATATATATATATATATATATGCACGCATTACTAGGTTTTAGTTGTATAAAATAAGATGATCTAATATGAATAAGAGAGAGAGATGATGGCTTATATAGTTTCTTGAAGCAATGTATATAACATATAAACTGTTATGAGATTGTCGATTAGAAAGAATTAAAGGAAAAGAATGAAAAGAATATATATAACCTTGTTTGAGTAACCATGGAGTGTCAATGATGGAAATGGATAACTGGGATGTAAGAAGGTGAAAATGGAAATTATGTGGAAATTGATTAAAATAGTTATGTTTTTAGGTTATCAAAGAGTAATCATATAATGCCCTCTTTGCTAGTGGAATGAAATAGTCGGGTCTAGGGAAACGTATAAATGATAAGAATTAGAGATTCAACTAACGATCAAAATTTGTCACTAATTTCTTCATACAAGGCCACCACCAATAGTTCTCTATTAGGTTTTTATACATCTTGTTGCCGGGATGTATGACATATCTAGACTTATGTGCCTCATCCAATACAATCTTCCTTAGGCTATACAGTCCTTGGAACCCATTTTCTATTATGGAACCTCCAAATTCCATATGTTCATATTGCCTAAAACAAGGTTTGAGCAGCCATCCATTCCTTCTTCATTTTCTCTCTACGAAAGGTATTTTGTTGCAACTTTCGGATATGATCTATCAGATCAATTCAAACATGTGTTCTCGTGGTTCACACTCTAATTTGTTATGCCCTCTCTTTCCTACTAAACACATCATATTTGTCCTTTCGAGATGGTAGTGTATCTCGCAGTCAAAATCTATTAACAACTCCATCCATATACTTTACCTCATGTTCAAATTTTTCTAGTTGAACAAATACTCCAGGATCCTATGGTATGTGTAAATCATACACTTAATACTATACAAATAATGCCTCAATATATTAAGTGTAAATACCATAATCATTAACTCCAAGTCATGATTTGGTACTATGCCTTTGTTTTGTATTGTCAAAAGCAATATTATTAACACATACCTCAACATTTTGGTTACCAATGTTTGATAATCACGTCCATTAGAGCAAATTGCGTATTTTTATCACATGGATAAAAAATAATTGACATTATGGTATATTTACAACTTGCATATTAACTTTTGGTCATTTTCACTATGTAAGAAAACATATGCGGAACAATGGGAGATATCTATTATTTAGTTCTAAAATGTAATGACTTTCATAGGATGTGTTTGTAGAAGGGGGACTAAATACAAATACAACAAATTTTCACTTTTATTTCTATATTTTGTATTAAAACCAAGAATTACAGATTTGTTGTGAAAGCTAGGAATGTAAGACCTGATCCTAACCAATTTGACTGGTGACAACCAACTAAAATAAAATAACCAAAATTAAATAACTAAAATACATGACCGTAACAACCAACTAAAATTAAAACAACCAAAGGTCGAGTCAAGGTAAACCATAACTGGATCCATGCATAAACACATCAATTTTCGTGATAGCACAAAAGCATCGCAAAAAACAGCAACAATAAAGATTAAAATAGATTTTGACAGCTTTTAGCGACAATTTTAAAAACAACTTTGTAAAACCGTCGCAAACAACACTATTTTACTCTTTAAATAAAACTTTCTGCTTTCGCGACAGTTTTATTAATTGTTGCAAACATGATTATGTCAAAACATGTTTCTTGTTGTGATTAAGATTATCAACAAAATTAAATAAACACATAAAAAATGATCTTTTTTTATAACTTTTATATCATTAAAATCCTTTAATAACCATAAAGTTTTATAAACATATTGTATCAATTTCTTGCATAATTTTTATGCCAAAATTATCCAAAGAACCCATACAATGAACCAACAGGGAAAACAAAAAAACATAATTGATTGATCTTTATCACTTTAAAACTCATATATATAAATTCGAAAAATTCATATATATATATATATATATATATAAATCGCAAGTTTCCCGTTGTTGTTCCCGGACTATCCATTCCTTCCTTCCTAAAAGATAAAAAGAGAAAGAGCTATCAGTTCAAAAATCTTGCCTTCCTCTGCTGCCCCGGGAGAGTAAAAAACCCCTCCCTAAAGGAGAGCATAAGCTGATCGAATATTTGTGTTTGATCCGACTTCGATCGAACATAATGAACCCCAAATAGAGAAAGCGGACCCCTCATACAGTGGCCTCTTTTATAAGACAAAAATTGCAGAGAAGCAGGATCCGAAGCGATGGCGTCTGTCTTCGTAGTATAATTGACAAAGCGGGAGGAAAATAAAGAAAGAGATTGAGTTAGAGAAATTCTCTATTATGGTTTACCTGCTTTCCTTTCGGACAGCTTTATGAGAAAGATAGATACGAAATTCGGATCAAAAAGAGATAGCTTCAATAGTTCCCTTAAAATTTTCATATATATAAAAAAAACCAACAAATCTTTGTGTTTCCCATTCAAGTGTACAACATACCACAAACAAATTTGTTTAGTGATCAAAAATCAATCAAAATGTGCTAAGAAACATAAATGTTGGCTCTGATACCACTTTTAGTTATTACGTAAGATAAAAATCGGATCTTTATATGAAAAACGCGGAAGTATGAAATGTAATAACGAAACCGAGGAACACGTGTATGTAATCAAAGCAACAAATAAAATCTACAAATGTACCTCGATTGTAGATCAAAACAATTAAGAATCAACGTAGAATCCCTCTATCAGTCCACACATGAAGCCGTACACCAAAACAAGAAACCTTATCGCTTGGAGCACCAAAATCGACCTGAAGAACCCCTTGGGGTTGAGTTCAGCCGTAGATGGGGGGAGAGAGAGAGAAAGAGAGAGAGAGGAGGGAGAGGCGATTGTTGCTTAGGGTTTGATTATGTTCTTATCTCTAAGTTAGTTAGGTTTAAATACTCATGATTTGGGCTTAAATCCCTAACAGGCTTCTAAAGCCTCTTTATGCATATTTAAAACCCATTAGCAATTAACTAATCATTTAGTTAATTAATAATTAATAATTTATCAAAATAAATTATTAAATTATTATTTACTAATTAATTATTAACTATTAACAATTAACAAAATCAGTCCCCAAGGTTTCTTACTTTCCAATTTAGGCCAAGTGTGTAGCCTCGATAGACTTATGAAATTTATTTACTAAATTCACTTGTAACATTGGACATTATTTCCAACAGTTAGCAGTACCCGACAACATTCAGGGATGGATGTTTGACCTATCAGGCAGGGATAATCATTTCGGTACTGGGAGAGGTGGCGACCATTCTCAAGAACCAAAAAGACTAAGCTGAGGGGAAGCCCTATGACTCACTGAAAAGACGGTAGGAGGGCCCTTGATCTGTCAATATAGAGAGAAAAAATGGGCTTTGTATTCATGTATGTATGTATGAATGTATGTACATACATACATACATACATACATGCATGTATATACATACATACATGTATATACATACATACATACATACATGTATGTACATACATACATACATACATACATACATACATACATACATGTATGTACATACATACATGTATGTACATACATACATGTATGTACATACATACATGTATTTACATACATATGTATAGATATATACATATATGTATATAGAGAAAAGTTCATTTGAGAAGTGGTAAATATTTGAGAAGTAAAGAAGTGATCCTAACCCTTCATCTGGTCAACATTTGGGTCTTTGACACGAGTTATTTAGTGAATCAACTAATTAGTTAATATGTGAATCACACGAGTTAATATGTGAATCAGTTAATTAGTTCATATGTGAATCACAAGGATTCATATATGAATCACAAATGTTTTTATGTGAATCAGTTAAGTAGTTCATATGTGAATCGCACGAGTTCATATGTGAGTCAGTTAAAATACTTCATATATGAATTAAACAGGTTGTTGATCCTCTCTCTCAGTGATTTGATGATAATCCCTTTTTCCTTTCGATGTATTTACGTTTTCTGTTTTTTCAGTTCCAGCGATCAATACACTGAGTATGTTCAGTGATCGCTGAAGAACTCGCTTTGTAAATCATTCAGAGACAAC